TGGATGGCTGGTGAGCACTCATTAGAATAATATCTTTTAATATTTGTCTCAGAAACATGTACTAATTTATGATTTGTTTCTGAGATTGGAGGGATATTAATCTGAGTATTCCACTGTTGTAACAAGTCTCGACCCCACAGGTTCATAGCTATGTTAGCCATATATGGTTTTAATTTTCCTTTCTGTCCTTCTGGACCTATACATTCAAGCCATCTTACACTTTGTTTCACTCTAGATAATGTCCCAATTCCTAAGAGTTGAATGTTTACCTCCTGAAGAGGCCAAGTTGGATGCCAAAATTCTGGTGCAATTATGGTAATGTCAGCACCTGTGTCTACCAGACCAGACAACAAAACACCATTTATTTTTATTGTTAGTTTTGGTCTTTGTTCATTAATAGAAGTTTGCCAAAAATTTTTCTTTATGTTTTTTCCTGTATTTCCTATTTTCTCTGTTTCATCATCTCGACTAACATGATTTATTCCAATAGACATTTGGTTATTTAGTTGCTTTGAGTAGGGGTTTCCTCTACAACTGCAGGAAAGGTTTGAACTGGATTTACTGTGGGGGCCTGCCTGAGGCCCCTCTGGGAGTTTCCCGAAGCTCGAGGCAGAGGGTTACCCTGTCTGTCCCTTGTTGATCTACATTCGTTGGTCCAGTGTTTTCCCTTACCACACCTTCTGCATACTCCAGAAGGAAGGGGCATTCTGTTGCCAGTGTTCCTTGAAGAAACATTATTTCTAGGAATGACCTGTTTACAATCCCTTTTCAAATGTCCTTGCTTTCCACATCCAAAACATCTAACATTGCTCAAACCTTTTGAAATTGCTTTTCCTACCCACATATCATCATGGTCATAAGCCTCTACATTAACTGTATCTCTAATCCAATCTTCCAAAGGTGCAGATCTTGCCTTTAACAGCCTAATTATTCTTTTGCACGCTGCATTTGCATTCTCAAAGGCTAAAGATTCAATTATTATCTGACTAGCCTCTGAATTCGGGACCATTTTTTGTACTGCTGAAGTCAATCTTTGTAAGAAGTCTGTGAAAGATTCTTTGGGGCCCTGTATAACCTTTGTAAATGACTCAGTTTTTTTTCCTGGTTCTTCAACTCTGTCCCATGCATTCAAAGCTGCCGTTTTACATAGAAGTAGGGTTTGGACATCATATGAACATTGTGTTTGTACTGAAGCATATTGGCCTTCGCCAATAAGCTGATCCTGGCAGACTTGTATTCCGCTATCCCTCCATTGTCTTTCTATATTTTTAGCCTCATTACTGAACCACATTTTCCACTGGAGATTTTGTCCGGGTTCAAGAACAGCCTGTGCCAATTCCCGCCAGTCCTTTGGTATAATCCTATTACAAGTTGACCAGGTGTTTAACATTTGCTTTACATATGGGGAGTGCATGCCATAAGATGCTATTGCCTCCTTAAATCTTCGTAAGTCTAACATTTCAACTGGAACCCAAGTATTTTGTTCATTCTCTTCATCAGGTAGCTGCTGTACGGCTACTGGATAAATTAAGGGTGATTGTGTGAAAACTGGCTTTCTTTCTGTAACCTTACGATCCAATTTTGAAACAACTTCACTATTTATTTCTTCTGTCTGAATTTGAATTTCTCTATAATTCATTTTTACCGGTTTAACAAGTTTTTCTAAGACTGTTATCCTGGCACTTAAGTTGACGATCTTTTTAAATAGTAAAATGAGGATAAGAAAAGTAATAAACTGAATAATTCGATCAATATTAATCTTTTCATATAGTTGTTCCATTGTCAGAGTGCCTAAAATTTCAAACAAAGCCCAATTTTCTTCCAATGTACACATAAAGCCCATTTTTTTTTTTAATGTAGAAAAAAATTCTCTTTTAAATAGATATGTTAATTGACTTACCAAGTCTGGGTAGAACAGTAGAATCCCAGGGAACTTCACAGCCACCTGGTGTTCGAGGTGTGAATCCAGCGAGAGAGAGAGAGAGAGAGAGAGAGAGAGAGAGAGAGAGAGAGAGAGAGAGAGAGAGAAAGTGTAGCTGCTTGAGCCGAGTCAAGCCTTGGCTTTACAGGCAGGGGCCCTGTTCAGCGGGGCAGGTCTGAGTTGTTTGTAGCAGTTCCAGCTGCGGGTCAGTCAGGCCTGGGCCCAAGCTAGGCAGCCGGGCCGCCCAGGCTGGAAACCGGACCTGCCGCCAAGCCAAGCCAATCGGTTTTTAATGAATTCTTGTCACGTTGGGCGCCAAATGTAGATGTATCCAACCTTCCCATCAAACAATAAACACAGAACCAATGCAAAGAAGAAAGCCAAGAGGTCAGAGCCAAGAGCCAAAACCTTACCCTTCCTCCTGCAGTGGTCCTACCTCTCCGAACCAGAGCTACCCCTATGTTAAAGTCTTTATATAGAGTTCCTGTCCTGCCTTCTCATTGGTTGTAAACCCAACCACATGACCGCCTCCTCACAGCCTGTCTGTATAGGCCTCCAGGTTTTCCATGATTGGTATTAAGATTAAAGGCATGTGTATCCAATAATGGCTGTATCCCTGAACACACAGAGACTTACCCAGCTCTGCCTACTAAGTGCTGGAATTACAAGCGTACGCTACCACTGCCCTGCTTTCCTATGGCTTGCTAATAGCTCTGACCCCCGGGCAACTTTATTTATTAACATACAAATAACATTTTAATACAAATAAAATATCACCATAACAGATATTTACTTTTTTTTTTTTTTTGAGACGGGTCCTAACTATGTATCACTGGCTGTCCTAGAACTCACTATGTCAACCAGACTGGACTCAAACTCACAGAGATCCTCCTGCCTCTGCCTCTGCCTCCCAAGTGCTGGGATTAAAGTTGTGCTCCACCATGCCCAGGCCTCATGGCAATTAACCTTTAAGAAGATTACTACTTGTCAAAGTTTGATGCCATGCCAAATATCAATAATTTTCTCAAAAATCTCTTAAATGTTCCTCCCTCAGCTAGATGCATAATTAAGGTCAGATTTTCTTCATGTATTTCAACAAAAATTTCCTATCAATAGAGATTCTATGCAAAAAAGTAGTTATTAATCCAGCTAAAAGTTCATAAAATAATATGACTGCAAATGTTTTTTTGGTCTCCAAAATAGTCATTTTCATACAGTATATAAGTTGTTAAATAATGGTTTAATTGCTACTATACTTAAATATATGCAAGCTTTATAAGTTCTAATTTAAATTTTTATTTTGACAGATATAACTAAATAGACAAAAGCTCTTTGGAAGTTTTCAATAACATTTAGGAGTATTCTGAGACAAAATATATGAGAATAGAATAGACTAAAGATTGTCTTATTACTTTACATTTAAAATATTTATGTCTTTTTCATGGCTTATTTGATCACAATGTATGGATTAAATTTTATAGAATTCTTAACAATGAATTTCCAAGAATCATAGATAACTTAGTGATGAAGATATATTCTGAGAGAAATGTTTTTACCAGGCAATTTTATCAGTGTGCAAATAACATTGCGTATACTTATACACACATCCACAGCAGATGGCTATCATTTGGCACGGCCCTTTGATTTAATCAAGAAATATGATAAAACATGATATATATAAGAACTGTTACAGATGTAACATGGCACATTGTTTTACAGGGAAAAAATTGGAAATAGGAGTATACTCCAAAGATTAATAGTGTAGAACAGCAAATACATAAACCAGCAGCATCACATCTGCCAGTAACAGTAGTTTGTCATAATTGTAATGTTGTAGTTTTATGTGACTACCATCATGGTAGGTTTACACCAGCATTACAACAAAAATGAATTCTGCTACAGCCTTACAATAGCTACATCACTAGCCAATAGGCTTGGTTTCAACTCCATGATAACTGGAGATTAGCTGTGATTTCTCATTCTTCTGTAACTGTCTTCTTAGTGTCTTCAGCATTGTATTTGGAAAGTGTCTTGATGACTTTTTGTTGTTAGTATAAGAAAGCCTCAAGAACCTGCTTCCACATTGTAAACTCATATTTAGGGAGACCTAAACCTATGTTTCCAGGGCATGGTCACTCATATTTGGCTCCACAATAAACTACCTCTTTTTCTCTTTGAGGTGAGAGCTGTGTTTTTGTGTCTGAGCACTACCTTCATTCAATTCACTATCCTTTCTCACCCCATCCATTTTCTCTCAGTTTGTTCTTAAATAATTATTTTGAGTGATGTTTTTCATATTTAAATCAAGGAGGCTGTAAATCCAGCTTTGTGAAGAACACTTGCTTAACATCAAGAAAGCCCTGAGTTGGGACCATAGCACCTCAAAAATAAAACAAAATGTCATATCATATTTTTTTCTCAAAATACACTAAGAGATTTGCCATCTTACATAAAACCCAGAATCTTTACAAAGCCCTCACAGGATATGCTCAACTTCAAGCTTCCTCTCCTCTTCTCTCTCTCCTAATTCTTAGTCTGACTTCTGGTGTCTGTGGCATTTGAATAGTCGTCACATTTGCTGCTACTGCGTTTTCTCCGGGCCGGCTGTCTCCATCACCTGGGTTAACCCTTCTGCGTTATCAGCTTGTCTCAGATTAAAGGCTCTGCTGTCGGATTACTGCATAAGCATCTTTACTTCCTAAAATCTCAGATCAAAGGAAGAAGCACATTCTGAGAACCGTTTGTAGTTGCAATGATCCTTTCCTCTCTTTCCATTCTTTTATCTTGCTGGGTTTTTTTCTTTAATGTCACATACTAACTACTTAAAGTTTTTTTTTTTTATTTGTGAGCCATTTGTTTCAGTTTAGTTAACCAAACTGTTAACTAAAAATTGCAGATTGACACTCAGCAGAGGCTCAGTGAAGGAATCTAGGAACTCTTCCTGTTCGTACAGTTGGGAACAAACCCTGACTTGTAGCCGTTTCTTAAATATCTAAATCATAAAGCAACAGACTTGATCAAGACCTCCGCTCCCCCGGAAGTAAAAGCGTATGACCCGGGTCAAACACGGAAGCACTTCCGGTTCCGTACAGCTGCAAACAACATGGCGAAAGCCGGGGAGAAGAGTGTCGGCGGCGGGAAGCGAGGTTTGAAGAGGAAAGCCGCCGCCGAAGAGCCTCAAGAGGCTGCGGTCGCGGGCGATGGGGCGGCGGAGAGCGGGGCGCGGCCCCCGAAAGCGGGTGCCTTCCCCCCGGGATTCAGTATCTCGGAGATTAAGAACAAACAGCGGCGACACTTGATGTTCACGCGGTGGAAACAGCAGCAGCGGAAGGTAAGCGCGCGGGGTGGGGTGGAGGGGTCGCACGGGCACGCGCGGGGTGGGGTGGAGGGGTCGTACGGGCACGCGCCGGGTGGGGTAGGGGGGGTCGTACGGGCACGCGCGGGGCGCGGGGTAGGGGGTCGCACGGGCACGCGCGGGGTGGGGTGGAGGGGTCGTACGGGCACGCGCCGGGTGGGGTAGGGGGGGTCGCACGGGCACGCGCGGGGCGCGGGGTAGGGGGTCGCACGGGCACGCGCGGGGTGGGGTGGAGGGGTCATACGGGCACGCGCGGGGTGGGGTGGAGGGGTCATACGGGCACGCGCGGGGCGTGGGGTGGAGGGGTCGCACGGGCACGCGCGGGGCGCGGGGTAGGGGGGTCGCACGGGCACGCGCGGGGTGGGGTGGAGGGGTCATACGGGCACGCGCGGGGTGGGGTGGAGGGGTCATACGGGCACGCGCGGGGCGTGGGGTGGAGGGGTCGCACGGGCACGCGCGGGGCGCGGGGTAGGGGGTCGCACGGGCACGCGCGGGGTTTGCAGGTCCCGCTCTCCAGCGTCAGCCCTTTCCCGGATGGTCCTGGCTGGGCGATCTGGTCTCTGCTCCTTGGGACGCACTCCGGGAAGCCGAGGGTCCTAGAGAAGATGACCCTCTGGCCTCACAGAAGGCGGAGGGCTCCGCACCTTGGCTTTGCCCGGCCAGCTACAGCGCTGGTTAATTTCTCGGTGTAAATTCCAAATCTCAAACTCTGCTGCCCTGATTGCTTCGGGAACTCTTACTGAAGTTAGTACTGTGAAGTGCCTATAATAACTGCGTTTGCTCGCTACCCCCTGTACTCGCGCTGTTCTGGGAGTAAACATGAGCTGAAACAGACTTGCAAGGCTTGCCAAGATCATAAGGCTTATTTGTGTCTGAATTGCAGTTTGAAAAACAAAATTCCTTATTACTGCATACATAAAAACATGATGTTCTTTTAATTTTTATTTGCTTGTCTCATTTGTTTGACTGAATCTTTTTGTAAGTGCTACGCTGCTACTGGAGTTAGTACAATGGACGTGTCATCTGTTTTGATTTGCAAGTATGAGGGAGGAATATTCTAGAAAACTACTTTGGACTGTGTGGATGCGGAGGCACTACAAAATTATATATGTATATATATACTTTTTTATAGCGTGTCAAACATTTTCTGTAGAAGTCAGGAGATACTGGTGTATAGCAAAAAGTTCCTATTGATCTTAAACGCTTATTTTGGTTGTAAAGTAGAAGAATAATTAGTGGAAACATCCTGAAAACACATCTCCCATTTCTCTTTATTTTTAGTGCTTTCCAGAAGTAATTGTTATAAACATGATCTTTAGGGTGTAAGCACTATGGAAAAAAAATACTTGTTATATGTTTGATTTAATTAGAAGCTTTATAGTAAAAATTAAAGCTACTGGAAGTGTAAATGTTCAGACTTATGTCAATTTGACAAAGCAAGCTCTTTGTTAAATAAATCCTATTGATTAGGCTGCCCATTTGTGGTTCAGTAATTTAGCTATTAAAGGAAAGTCTGTGTCTGGTGGGAGATGGTAGTATACACCTGAGATCTAAACACTAAAGAAGCAGAGGCAAGAGGGTTATCACAAGCAAGCCTGGGCTACCTAAGCAGACCTTTAAAAAGTTTTGTGTGCTTACTTTAAAAGATGACAATAATTCTCAGACTGTTCTTAGAACTGATCTGTGGTTTCAGTATAAGTTTGTGAAATAACTGCTGGCTTCTCAATATTGTTTGTTTTTATCCCATTAGGAAAAGTTGGCAGCTAAGAAAAAACTTAAAAAAGAGAGAGAGGCTCTTGGTGATAAGGTAAATAAGGTTTTTAGCCATGTAGTTTGTCTTATATTAAGTAGAATTTCCTGATACTATGTTGCTTGCTTTCTTCTAAAACATTTCAGAGGTTTAAAAATAATGTAACAAATACCTTTCTACTCTTTACTCAGTTTAGCAAACAGTGGTGAAAGCTCATTGACCGTTCTCAAAAATGTGACATGGTTTAAAATTCCCCTGACGATACCTTCCTTAGTATGTTGTGCGCAGACAATAAGCACAGTAGTGCTGTTGTTCAGGAGGCAGAGAAAGCCCTCTGTGGCTTCGGGACTGGCGGACTCCCCACTCTAGGCCTGAGGGTTTAGCTCTTGTGACTTAAAGCTAAAAGAACTACTAAATACTCCTGCATTGTTGCACAACTAAGCTTTTCATTTTTAAAGTTTTTTACATACGTGCTTAATTTATAATTTATACTTATAAAAATTTTAAAGCATGTGGTTCTCCCGACTTTTATCTCATATAAGTACCAAGTAAGAATAAGGATTTCCGAGGAAGGCAAAAAATGTTCAGACTACACAAACTAAGCATTCTACTTTTTCATGCATTGTCCAAATGGTATCATTTTAAATCATATAAAATCATCAATATTAGGCTATTTTGACCTTCAAGTTCTAATATATCATGTAATATTAGTATCTCCAAAACTCCCATAATCAGCTAATTGCAGCAAATTGGTGTGCTAATCAACTTTTAATGTTATCACTGGCCCTGGATTGAGGATGTAGCTTAATTGGCTTTCAACTTGAATATACAACTCCCTGCCTAAAAACACAACAAAAATCAGTTTTTGTACTGAAAGATGACTTCCTAGAATTATCTTCAAAGATTACTAAGGGGCCAGCAAGATAATTTAGTAAGGTAAAGGTGCTTGCTGCCAAGCATGGCAAACTGAGTTTAATCCCCAGAACCCATGAGGTGGAAAGAGAATCACTCCCACAAATTTCACGCCTTAAACAAATATACCCACCCAACGTCATAAATAATTTATCGGTTCATATTTCCTTCATATCTCTACATAATATCCATGTATTTTGAAGTAGTTTTAGTATATTCTTGTAATTCTGTTCTCCTTGGCAGTTTGTGGGCGCCATTTCTTGATCTAAGCTGATAATTCTGCAGTATCTGGTCATGTGAGATGCAATGTGTTAACAATTACCCTGCTGTACTGGACATTTGTTATATTGATGTTTATTTCCATTATGAATGACCACCTCCTACAGACCTTTATTTCTTATCATAAATTCCCCCAAACAGAATTACTAGGTCACTGGATAGACTTCTATCACATTTTTTAATAGAGTTCAGGAAGTGTAGAAACAGTCACCTGGATTTGTACCTTTGTGATTTTTTTTTCCATTTTGTTAATTTCCTTTTTACTGTTAGATATTTTTCTTAGAGATAGATAATTTTTGTGATTTCTGCTACTTCTGCCTATTTTTTAAGTCATTGGATTCCATATTTACCATGTATATGTCTCTTCAGATTGTTAAAAGGTAACATTACTCCATTTTGTTTTAAGAATTTATGTGACAGTAGTTGTGGTTTGAAATAAAGAACAGGTTGTTTGGAAGTTATTTGAAGACTAGTTTCTCAACTGTAATGTAAAATAGTTAATAAAATGCTTCTAAAATGTGGTGCTTTCCATCTTAGGCTCCACCAAAGCCTGTTCCCAAGACCATTGACAATCAACGAGTCCCCGATGAAACCACAGTAGACCCCAATGACGAAGAGGTAATGTCAGAAATTTGAATGCTCACCCTTGGTGGCTGTAAAGCAGAATACCCACTTCTTCCCTACCTCCTTGGCCCTTATCCCTCTCTTTGGTATTTGACCCTCCCAGAACGTTTGGTACGCGCCACATCATGCCAGCATGGGGACCTACATATGTTGCTTCACTTAGATCTTTCTTAAACACTGAAAATATATTTCGGTAAATTTTGTGATCTTTCCCACACTGGTTTCACGTGTCTTGTTAGAGCTACTCCTGTTCTGCGGCTTATCCTTAGGGCACACGCATCTCTGAAACATGCTTTGTTTGCTGTTTTGTAAAGAGCCATTGAGTTTTTGGGTAGTGGTCCTCTAACCATAGCTTACCTGAACTAATTATCTAAATACTGACTTCATTTTAAATTTTAGATAATTAGTTCTCCAATGATAGGTGTATTTCTTGCTTTATTTTTTTCCTACTTCTGTACTGACTGGAACTTCTGATACAACGTTGAGTAAATAGAAAAGGCAGTGATGGTGTCCTTGCCTTGTCCTGATTTGAAAGAACACTGCCGATACAGCCTCCTTGATGTGTACGTCATCAGTGTAGGTTTCCTTATGCTTACAGAAATCCTGTTTATGCTCTGTTTTGTCATGAATGAGTATAGAATTCATTCTCTGAAAATACTGAGATACTTGTGTGTTTCTTCCCCGTGATACCTTTATGCGTCTGTGGGTTTTTGAATGTTAAATGGATACCTAAATGGCATCTGTGAGTTTTCAAATGTTAAAAATAAGTATCTTGCCTTCTTGGGATAAGCCATTCTGGCTCTGATGTTCTATCTTTCTATTATACATTGTTCTGGATTGTAGATACTTGCTTAGAATTGGTATCTATATTTGAACTCATGCGTTAAACTACAGTAATGTCTCATTATCACTCCTAGTATTCCTTCTTTTTTAAAAAATTAAAACTTCACTGTAAATATCATGCAAATAAAAGTCAGGCAGTGAGAAGAGCTTGACCCACAGTCTAGTCCAAGAAAACCCACAGTTTAGTCTTAACATTTTCTCTTCATCAGGTTTGATCAGACAGTTATTTTGTGTTCCTTTCAGAGTAGGTTTTCTTTAAGCTTTTCTCTTAGTGTTTCATTTCTGTCTCCCTCTTGTTTCCTTCTGCTTTCATTGAGCTTCGTCTGTTTTTATTTTATCAACTTGCTTTTTTTTTTTTTTTGCTATGAGTGACAAAATTCCCTTTGAGTATCACTTGTGGTAAATCCTACAAGTTTTAAAATGTGCTGCTTTCATTATTAGTTTAAATCAGAGTTTCTCTTTTAGTGGAATATTTGTTGATTGCTCACAATTTATTAAGTTTTTGTTTGATTAAAAATTTAATTGGCATGTTTATTTTTGAGTCCATAATTTAGTATATACATACTATTCCTGATGATTAAATTGTAGTACATTTATGTCTCAAATATCATTTCTATGTCGTGAGAACCTTCAAACTGTTGTCTGGTTATTTTTTAATATGATAAATGGCTTTAGACACTGATAATCTTACTCTGCTCTGTTTATATAACACAGAATTGATTTTTCCTGCCTGTCTTTAGGACTCCTCCCGCCTCTCTCTGCTGGCAGATGTCATTCGCCACCAGGTCTTATTTCGTTTCCCAGTCTTCATCTTGTGTGTCTCTCTCAGCTCTACATGCTGCCTCCCCAGCCCTTGAGATTCCTAAGGAGGCGTAGGTGGTCAGTTCTAGACTTCTGATACACGTGTTTAAAGCTCTGGTTTCCCAGTGGTGGCTTTAACATGGTCCATATGTTTTGACAGCTTGCTGCTTTTCTTCTTTACTTATTCAAGAGTTTTGTTTTGATTAGTTTGGTGGGAACAAAGGAACTGGAGATGGAACCCAAGCAGCCACACTCTGCAGCCCAAGAGATTTTCTAATTTTCTTTCTAATTGACTTCAGCTCACTGATTATTGTGTATGTTAATATACAAATATTTGAAAATATTCTAGATTTCCTTCTTGTGGGTGACATCTGTTAATTCTCTCATGCTTGCTTAACACAGTTTCTTTCAGTTAAAGAGAGGTTTTTAAGTCCTGGCATGTGGTCTGTTCTGAGGATGTTGTGTTACCCTTGAAAAACGTGTTTCCTATTATTTTGGGAGGGATTGTTGTGTTGCTTGGTCGGCTGCTGCATCTCACGTATTCTTTCTGAGTGTTAATTGACTTGTCACTGAGGGCTTGACTTGTGTACTATACCCCTCAGCTGTCTGCTTCTTCAGTTACTTTGACTCTCTGCTTCCGACTTTAGTTCTTTTGTTAGCCTCACGCATTCACAATCATATTGCTCTATGAAATTACTTGTGTATATTATAATTACATTTTCTTGATGTACTCATCCTTGACCCCATAGAAAATACTGCCTTTGCATTGAGCAGTACTTCTTAGTGTCTGTTTTGTCTTATGTACATGGAGCCACTTAAACTCTCCCCCAGGGACTCTCTCCACAGGATGCTTTTCCATGTTTTGCTTTGAAGTTATTCATGGGCTTGAATTTAATGTGTATCACTTATCAAGTGCATATGGTTGGGTCTTGCTTTTTGGTCAGCCTGAAAGTTAGACCCTAATGTAAGTTATAAGCATAGCTAGACTTTTGCATCCATCCATCCCCACACCCCCAACCCCCACCTTGTTCTCAGCTCTTCCTTGGCTGTTGTGTTTGTGGTAGTTTTTCACTGTGCTGCTTTAATTCTGCTTGATTTTTAGGCTGGTGTTCTTTTAGTAGTTGCCCTTAGAATTACAACGTGCCTGGGCTGAGAGCTTAAATCTCAGCACTGGAAGGAAACAAGCAGAAGCTGCGTGTGCCTTTAGTCATCCCAGTCTGCTGTGAAGCTGCATGATTCTGCTAAACCTCGGAGAGACAGTGCTGTTAGAGTCGGTTCCCTCCATCCTGGTGTATCATACACCTGATGCTGATGGTCATCCACCACACGCTGTCTGTGAACAACCTGGAGTCATAGTGACTACTTGAATGCATCTGGAGCTTTTCAAAGAAAGCAGAGTGTGTGTCCATGTAGTTCAGTCTTTAAGTACTGCACCTTTATAGTTTAGCACCTGTTTCCTAGGTCTGCCTTCCCTTCTAGTGTCATTTCTTTTGTCTTCATGGCACATTTCCTAGCTGCTAATTACCCCCGGGTTGTTTACTGAAGATACACTTTGCTTTCATTTTCAGAGACAACTGTTCAGAGTGTCTGGCTTTCTTTCATCTGCATAAGTGTTAGTATTTTCATCAAGTTTATCTTTTTAGCCATGATTTCTTCAATACTTTCCTGCCTTTCTCTTGTGCCCTTCGAGAGACTCCCTTTACACACACGGCTGAAATGTCTGACATGCTGCAGTTCCCTCCATCCTTGCTGCATTTCTAGGATGGTTTTCTCTGTTCTCTGCGCTGGATCAGGTTGATGTCTGTTCATTCTTAGTCCACTGGTTTGTCCACCGGTTCATGCTTTCTTTAAATCATAGAGCACATTACTCAGAGCTGCTTTGCCATCTGCCAAATTTCACGTGTCAGCCCACTCAGTTATCTGCTAATTACTTCCTTTTCTATTAAGTTTTGGGTGGAAGTTAGACATCTTACACACACAATGTTGTAGTTCTAGACTGTCAGTTATTTAAGTAGTTTATTTTGGTTTTGTCTTATTTGTCAGGATCTCCCTCTGTAGTCCAGGCGACCCTGGAATTCCCTATGCAGCCCAGCTGACTTCAAGCTCATGGCAATCCTCCTGCCTCAGCTTCTCTGGGTTTACAGGAATGAGCTACTGTGCTCAGCTCTAGTTTATTTGGTAAGGACTGTTTTGTTGTTTCTGTAACTTGCCTGGGACTTCAGAGTGTGAAGTCATTCTCTCCTGGGCAGTGGCACAAGGTCTGCTGAGTTCCTGTTGTTTTGTATTTAATTTGCCTCACCACTGATTGCCCTGTTTTGATTGCATGCCTTATGGCAGTCGGTGGTTAGGCAGGTACTGTTGGACACCTGGAGTCCCTCAGACATGTACCTTTCTCTGTCTGAGCTGTGCAATGTGTGGAGGAATGCCTTCAGAGCTCCACCAGTTCTGTCTCCCTGCCTTTCACGCTCAGTGGGTTCTCAGGTCTCCCTCAGCCTGTGTGAGATTAGAGCCACCAGTGGGTTTGTGGTGACAGTGTCTGAAGTACATTACAGCTCAGACTTCACCACTTGTAAATGTCCAGCTACGCCATACTTCCCCTACACTAGGTCTGCATCCCTGGTCTGACCTTTCCCCTACCAATTTTTTTTTTTTTTTAAGATTTATTTATTTATTTATTACATATACAGTGTTCTGCCTGCATGTATGCCTGAATGCCAGAAGAGGGCACCAGATCTCATTACAGATGGTTGTGAGTCACCATGTGGTTGCTGGGAATTGAACTCAGGACCTCTGGAAGAGCAGCCAGTGCTCTTAACCTCTGAGCCATCTCTCCAGCCCTCCCCTACCAATTTTGATTCTTGTTTTCTGCTCCAGGCTACTACCCCATCCTGGAAGCTAGTCCTGCTGTTTTCTTCCACCAACACGATGAGATGGGTATAATAGCATTAGTCAGGACTGGGATTCTTGCCCATATCTGTAGGCATTCTGCAAGAATACACACATCTTAGTTTGTGCCCTGACAGTATTTTTGGTAGCTACCCAGTTTATACTCTAATTGTGCAGGTGATTCAGCCTCTTCGTGTCACTATTAATGTCACCTCCTGTGCCTGTCAGCTAACAGTCAGTCAAGCAACACTTTAAAATCCAGGCTCAGTGAACTGTTTGGTATAAAATAATCTCTCCTCTGTTCTCAGGTCGCTTATGATGAAGCTACAGATGAATTTGCTTCCTACTTCAACAGACAGACATCTCCTAAGATTCTCATCACGACATCGGATAGACCTCATGGGGTAAACACATTGATTAGTGTAGTCCATGAATTGTTATATTTAAATGGTCCATTCAGAAAAGTGTAATAGTTAATTGCCTTTGATAATGACAGTGAATAAGCTAAAGAAAAATAACTGATGATATCATGTATGGTTACTGAGCACAATTCTTGAGGATAATTTTATGACCTTGACAACTATTAACATCATGGCTGGGTAACTCCTTGTTATGAAGTGCTGTCCTGCTCATTATGGGATGTTTAGCAACATCCCCAGCTTCTGTCAATTACAGGCCAACAGCAACCCCACGCCCTGCACCAAGTGTCTCCAGATATTGCCATGTCTCTGTCTCCATGAAGTAGCACTACTCCTTTTGCAAACCTGTGTCTTTGATACATGAGACATTGCTCTGCTTTCGTTCTTGGCCTGTCTTGCTCTCTTTTTTAATATTGCCTGATTCATCATTGTTCCTGTCCTTACAAGTATATCCTTGCTCCTTCTTACTCTCAGTATTTTTTCTTATTTTCTTACAGAGAACAGTACGACTCTGTGAACAGCTCTCAACAGTTATACCAGATTCACATGTTTATTACAGAAGAGGACTGGCTCTGAAAAAAATTATTCCACAGTGCATTGCAAGAGATTTCACAGACCTGATAGTTATTAATGAAGATCGAAAAACACCGAGTATCCTTTGGGTTTGTTTTTAAGGAAATTTTCCTGTTCCTTTCCTCGCCTGTTTTTAAACATATTTGAAAGACTAGGAAAGGATTCCTATCACTTTTAGAATGAACATTTTTCCATAGCATTGCATCTCTATCCAAGATGCTGTAAGACTTTTTTACTCATGAAAACATTTATCAGGCAAGTGTCGCAGCTAAAACACTGCTGTAACCTTAGTAAAGGATATAACAACAGTCAACCTGCCATAGTACTTCAGGCCAATAGTCCTGCCTACTAACAACACTGTTGCAGCGACATGAGGGGAGGAGGGCTTCGTGGGGACACTTGAGCCGGGTCTAATGAATGAGATGGGAGTCATCAGTGGGGAAGGAGGCGGCATGAAAGCTCCGGCCCAGGAGACACCATGTAGTTGGGTATAGCTTCATCTTAGGGTGTCAGGAAGCACATCGTTCTGAGGAGGGAAGCCGTGCTATGTGCTCGGTGGTGTGCGTGCTAGTAACAGTGAAACTTTTTCTGTGAGTCTCACATCCGACATAAATGTCATCTGACCTCAAGGTATTTCCGTTGAGATGAAAGAGTTAAAATATATCTAGATTTCTTTTTGTAGTTGCTATTATTTCTTGAATAGTGCCTATAATTTCAGTATCTAGGAAATGACCAGTTGGGTGAGTCAGATTAGTTAAAATTTGTAAAAATAGCAATAGGACTATGTGTTCTGCCATAGGACATTTTTTTATACACTGTTCTAATACAATGTATTTTTTAAATCCATTTTTTCACAGCTTTCATTGTTTTTAATATAACTTAAGTATATTGTTTTGTTTGCCTGTATTAGTTTTCCAGAAACTAAAATAGACAAAAACTCACTTTTTAATGTGGCATTTGCTGTCCAGATTATGATTTGGTTTGGCTAGGTTATTATAATTTTTTGTATGCCTAATTATTCCAGAAAAGAACCTTTTTTTTTTTTTTTTTTTGGTTTTTTCGAGACAGGGTTTCTCTGTGTAGCTTTGCGCCTTTTCCTGGAACTCACTTGGTAGCCCAGGCTGGCCTCGAACTCACAGAGATCCGCCTGGCTCTGCCTCCCGAGTGCTGGGATTAAAGGCGTGCGCCACCACCGCCCGGCCCAAGAACCATTTTCAAAGTGATTGCTGCCTTTGTAATTGCTTCTCTAAACAATATGGCAGGGTCTGTTTGGTTTTACAGTTGTCATTTACAGCTGCTAATAACAAGATTCATCAATTTAATGTTTCCTCTTCGCTTTGTATTTCTCATAGGTTCACAACTGACGCTGTCTCTAGCTTTCACAAAGCCCACCTTGTCTTGGCAAAATAAGTCTTTGTGTCTGAAACGTTCATTATTTTGTTTTCCCGTTTGATCACCTTGTAGAACCAGCATTCAGTCTCCTTTCTTCATTACTGAAACAGGCACAGTGACTGTTTTGCATTATTTGTGTTTAACAATACAACTTCTGTATGTACCAAACAAACAAAACCAATTTATTTAGGAACCTATGAATTTGGAATCTGCACTTTGCTTTTGGCACAAGCCACAATTTAATAGGAATGTTCTAGATAGAATTCAAGCTTTTACAAAGGTTGGAGGAAATTATTTCAGATCTACTGGTCTCCTTAATTTTCATGGTTTTGTGAATGTGCAAACAGTAAGAAAGTACTTGGCTATATTTCATGAAGTTGAACTTTAACTAGAAGAACTCAATATTTGCTGGTAGCTTGTTTAAAAATAAACAAAACCCAGTTCTAATACTGAGGTTAACAGAAGTTGGGGAGAAAGGCATTTTCCTGACTTATAACTGCCATTTTAGGTGACGGGCACTGTGGTAAGTTAATTCTGACTGCATGAAAAGGTGGCATTTGCAGCAGTCCTTAATGGAGAAGCAAAATACTGCAAGTGTTTGAAATAACGGGCAAAATAGCTTCATTATATGTGGTATGTAAGATTGTATGAGGACCTTCAAGTCAGGAAACATTTGGGAAAATTGGATATAAGAAATGTAGTTTGGACCTACATTACTGTGTCAAACTAATGTCTATTCTGAACACGAGTCAATGGTGACAGATGGTAGGAAATTAGCTACTGCTATTGAAACTGCTATGTAGTTCTTCTCTTGTCATTAGAAAGTGTGGGGGTGATAAAATGACCCAGCTTAGTACTTGGAGAACCAAGGGCCAAGTCCAGACTTATCATCTATATTAGAAACTGAACTTGAAGTAGAGAGCACCAGCTGTTACCTTATTTTAATGATACAGGTGGAAAGTATCAACTAAGAAAAGTCAGGATGGAAGTGGTTATAGAAGTGAAAATGTTAAGTGAGAGCAGTAGGTGGATGATTGACAAGTTGAAGAGAACTGATGATGGCAGTATTGTCTTGTAAATCTCAGATTGTATGCACAGATGGAAAATGGTTTGGATTAGGGATGGTCTTAATTTTCTGCTGCTGTGACAAGCTGCCATGACCAAAGCAATTTATAAAAGAAAGCATTTAATTAGAGGACAGCTTACAGTTTCAGAGAGTGGGTCCATGATTATCATGGCAGGGAGTATGGCAGCAGGCAAGCAGGCCCATGGCACTGGAGCATTCGCTTACATCTTATCTACAGGTTTGAGAGGGAGGAGGAGAGAGAGACAGAGAGACTGGGCCCGGTAAGGGTTTTTGAAATCTTAAAGCCCTCCCCAGTGACACACTTTTAAGGCCACACCTCTAACCCCTTCTTAAACAGTCCACCAACTGTGAACCAAACATTCAAATATATGAGCCTATGGGGGTCATCCTCATTCAAAACACCACGTTTTTAAAGACTTATTTATTATGTATACATGTATATCTGCATGCCAGAAGAGGGCACCAAATCTCATTACAGATGGTTTTGAGCCACCATGTGGTTGCTGGGAACTCAATTCAGGACCTCTGGACGAACAGAGCCAGTGCTCTTAACCACTGAGTCATCTCTCCAACCCAGTTGATGCTTTTTTTAAAAATTGGGTGTAATATAGCTTCTCCTGGCTGCTTTTAGTCCATCAGTTTTCAACCTGTGGGTCACGACCCCTTTGAGGGGGTTGAACAACCCTTTCACGGGGGTCACCTAAGACCATCAGGAAACTCATATTTACATTATGATTCACAACAGTAGCCAAATTACAGTTATGAAGTAGCAACGAAATACTTTTGTGGTTGGAGGTCATCACAGCGTCACCTGTTTTAAAGGATGGCAGCATTTGGAAGGTTGAGACCCACTGCTCAGTAAAGACAGCAGCCAAAGGGTTCAAATCCAGGCCTCAGTAAGCTGGCCTCATCCCTTTACGTACTTTTTAATTTTGAAATTTGGTCAGAGCTGCCCAAGCACAGTCTTGAAATTTCATCCTCTTGCTTAAGTCTCTGGGCAGCGGGACTGCGGGCCTGGGCCGTCGTCGATCCCAGTTTGTGTCCTGTCCACCTGCTTAAACTAAAAGCTGCTGTTAACTGAAAGCCGTGGTCAGCCACCGGCTGTCAGTTTTGCCTACTTGGGCGGTCCCTGGGCACCAGCCATAACTTACTCTGGTGCCACAAACCCTTGAGTGCTGCTCTGTCTCCTGTAGCTGAGACTCCGGTGCTTTTGGCTGCTCTACTTGCTGGTAGGCAGGTCTCTTATATTTAATCTGTAGTTTATAGTGTCTAGCATCATTCCGTTCATGCTAGACTAATGGGTTATAAAGGTTGATTTAAGTTCTCATTAATCCGAAGAGCTTCTCTCTTCTTAAATAGCAGCTTTGACTTTGCTGTAACAGGAATTTGCGATCCTATGATCCTCTTAGGTCCTAATCTTACAAACAGGACACACAAGTGGAGGTGAACTTACATAGCATTGAATCCCATCTTTTTTCCTTCTTGAGTAGTGGTCATTGGATAGACTTTTGTTGTTGTGTACTTTCACTTTGAAAGCCCAGGATACCCTATTGTGAATGATGCTATTTAATTGTAAAAACAAAAAAACTAAGATTATTGTAGATTAATACATATTTTCTTATAAGATTTGATGTGGTTGGACTTTGGTTTGGTAGGAAAAGTTCAGCTAACCCAGAAGAACAAATACATCCATCCACTAATTTCTAGGTGCCCTCAAGCATACAGAAGACAACTTATTTATGCAATTTAGGGCATAAGCTATAATTTGGTATGCTTCTTAACCTTTGTGAACAGATGGCCTTATTTTGAGTCACTTGCCAAATGGCCCAACTGCTCACTTTAAAATGAGTAGTGTTCGTCTTCGTAAAGAAATTAAGGTGAGTCTTATGTACTCTTTGATCAATACTGATCTCAGGTTATCAGTAGATGCTTAAGGATCTAATTGATTTTAATTATTTGATCTTCTGATGACAGCAAGTTGTCTACCGAGATATGTTGCAAGACCATAGACAATTTTGATAATAGCAGTAGTCCACGTTGCCATGAATGTTTTTATAGTAGGGTTTACTTTAGGATGTGTTCAATACATATTAAATATATCTTTGTGGGTTTGATAGGCCATCTCTTACATTTTTGTCATTTAAAAATTTTTTTAAAGTCAGGATTGGTGGCTCCTGCAGTAATCCTAGAACATGGTGCCTGAGGCAGAAGGAGCAGTTTTAGGGTAAAGCTGAGCTAAGAAGTGCCAGACCAGTCCGAGCTAGAGTGAGACCCTGTGTAAAAGCAAATTATTTTTAATGTTGTCTAAATTACGGACCCAAAATTATAATTATGCATTTTCTAATTCTCTTTACTGGGTATTATATTTTTTAATTTTTCCAGAGACGAGGCAAAGATCCCACAGAACATGTTCCCGAGATAATTCTGAATAACTTCACAACACGGCTTGGTCATTCCATTGGACGCATGTTTGCGTCTCTCTTTCCTCATAATCCTCAATTTATTGGAAGGCAGGTTGCCACATTCCACAATCAGCGGGATTACATCTTCTTCAGGTTTCACAGGTAAGGGCAGATGTTAACTTGGACTTTTTTGTCAACATAAACCTGTGTTCTGATATAATAAGTCCTTTAAGCTTTGCCATAGAAAATTAGTTTGAATGAACCTAATTGTTGTTTAACTTTTGTTTCTGAAGATATATATTCAAGAGTGAAAAGAAAGTGGGAATTCAGGAACTTGGACCACGTTTTACCTTAAAATTACGATCTCTTCAGAAGGGTACCTTTGATTCTAAATATGGAGAATATGAATGGGTCCATAAGGTATGTGGTGATTGCTCCAAAGCCCATTTTAACATATTATTTACATGTTAAGGTGTGTGAGAGAATCTTCTCCCATGAACTAGAAAGCAGCAATCTGATGTGGTCTCTTGGGCTGCTATTAACCTGGATTTGCTTGAAGTGGCCCAAAGCACAGCGATCTTTAAATGAGACCAACACCAATGTAGGAATGGGCAAGTCTCAGGCCAGCTGCCCAGCAGTGTCTGAAGCCTGGTGACTCTGCTGCACTGTTTGAGAACCAGCGCTGTTGGACATTTGGAAAGCATCTTAAGACAGATGAGAATGTCTGTAAATCGTCCTTTTCTGCCTAGTTAGCAGCAGTGCTATTTCTGCACTACACACAGGCTTAGAACAGAAATTCCCAGCAGTTAAATCAGCCCTGAAGACTGACTGTCGGGCTCACACATACCCATAGTGTCGGCACTGTTACTCATAAAGATCTATGAAAGCCAGCCTTTACTATCTCACCAAAGTTCTTCTTCATTGTCTTCTCCCCTTTAATTTTCAGCCACGGGAAATGGATACAAGTAGAAGAAAATTCCATTTATAAAGTACTGAGGGAGTAGTATTGAATTTTGCTGGACAGGCCTGTCTTGAAAAACATGGTAAATTATTTAACAAAGCACACTTTTCTAAATGATTTTGATTTTGTAAATCTTATATTTGAACAAATGACCAAGTGCCATGAATTTCTACTTTGTTGTTGTAAATATAAATAAATATAATTTTGGTGAGGGTCTAAAACTCCTAAACCTTGCTATCATTTTACGTTAATTGTGAATTTTGTTGGAATGAAGATTCAAACTTTCTAATTTGCACTCCCAAAGAACTTGTAGGCTAGGAAAAGTGTAGCCCTGATTTAATACACCAGTCTCAGAGGCCAGATTACCAGGACTTGGCACAAAGTTACAAGTCACTGGAGTTAACCTTTCAATTCCTGTTTTCTTGCTCAATTTTACCTAATTACCATCTACTGTCCTACTTCATTCAGGTATTGTCTTGAGTTCTCAAGTCCTGCCCCATTTCCCTGTTCCTCCATACCACATACAGTTTCTCTGTGTAGCTCTGGCTGTCCTGGAACTCCTTTTGTAGACCAGGCGGCCTCGAACTCACAGAGATCTGCCTGCCTCTGTCTCCCAAGTGCTAAGATTAAAAGGCATGTTACACCATCATCCAGTCAAGTTCTTGATTCTTCTAAGAGGACTCTTATTTCCAAAGTGAAGCAACTACCTTCCTGGTATAACTGCTAAATACACTACAAAGCATTTTGTTTTGTTTGGAATCTTTTGTTGTCTGTGTGAGCCCAGAGGACAGTGTCAAGTGCCTGTCATCCCTTTCTGCCTCATTTATTAAACAGAGTCTTTCATTAAACCTAGAGCTCACCATTTTAACCCATGCTGGTGGCCAACAAACCCTCTCCTCCACGTGCTAGGGTTCTAAGCATTCATAGCCATGATCAGCTTTTTGTATAGGTGGCAGGGATCTGAATTCAGATTATAATCACATAGCAAGAACTCTTACCCACTGGGCACCTCTCCACCCATATTTGGAATATTTAAAGTAATTCCTGTAACTAACTGAAAGAAACTGGAAGTCTCCCACTCTTTGAACAAAAATTTCCATTTGTTCTATAAGTTAAGAGCTGGTATTGAAAAGATTAATATACAGTGCATTTCATTAACAGTAACAAGGCCAGAAATTTGTATGCTGTTTTATTGTATGCTATAGCCAGTGTATATAAAATAGTTAAACCTTGTGAAACAGAAATCCATGAAAATTCAGAGAGGTAGATGTTAAGATCTGACAAGTAGAAGATTGTATATTATGGCACGCGTTATAGAGAAGCTTTTGTACAGACTTCAAATTTAGTTCTCTTGAATGTCCACTGGTTCATGAAAAGTGGTTTGAGAAATCTGATGGGAGGAAAAAAAAGATAAAAATGTTAAAAAAAAGTTATCGATACTTTATAACTGATATTTAAGCAAGGACAATTGTTTTTTATTTTTGAAAATGGTTTATGTTCTGCCTATTTTTCTGAGTAATAACATACAGATGATCCTTTTCAACCTCACAATGGTGTAAAGGGCTACCTGGGCATATTCGGTAATGCTGTTCTTCTGAGATGCTGTGTAGTAGCAGCAGTGAGGTGACATTCCCTAGTCCACTCCAGGACCAAGACCGGCCAACTGCCAACCCCTCGCTGTGCTGCTAAGTCAGTAGACTTGACAGGTGAGAGTGTGATGTATTTTCAGCTTACTATGGGGTTGCTGGTATACACCTACCATAAGGCAACTGCGGTGATAGATTGACTGGGTCTAGGAGAGAAATGGAGCCAGGCAGTGGTGGCACACACCTTTAATCCCAGCACTAAGAAAGTTGAGACAGGAAATGATATGGGAAAGGTATGTAAGGCTTGAGGAGACAGGAACTAGAGCCTTTTCAGCTGAAGAAGCTCATTCGGCTAGAGGCCTATTGACCAAGGCTTTTTCAGGCTGAGGAGTCCTAGAGTTAAGAGGTGTCTGTGCCTTATTCTGTTATCTCTCTGATCTTTCAGCATTTACAATATCTGGCACCAGGTTTTTTATGATAAGACCTTTAGAAATTCATGTTACAGTCAACCCCTCTATTTCTAGGCGGCTCACTTGAATATCAGTTTATAAAGGGTTTTTTAATTAAATTGAGCCTAAGCCTATTTGTTTACTTTTGAAGATACAATCTACAAAACGCTCTAAAATCCAACTTTCCCCTAGTTCTTACAACAGGCAAAGTACCCATCAACCCGTTTTATGGAGTCTTATAGATGACATCTCTAAAATTACTGAAATATACTTTTTCATAATAAAAAGGCAAACATAAAAACATTCAATAAGGAAAATCCAAAGCTCCTTTGGAAAAATGATTTATGATGAAGTCACTTCTATTCACCTACACACAAAAAACATGCAAGAATCCTGAACATACTGCTGTCAGCAGCATCAACAATCTTACTGCAGCTCATTGGAAGAATGAATAGACAATCTATGTATGCGGCAGCAGAATACCATTTAGCAGCTTAAATGACTGAACAATCCATACAGGATAAACACAGATCTCAAAAATTAAAGCAATAATTATATACTTAAAAACAGTATTATCTTGATACTATAAAATACAGTTAAGTTCATGTATATAGGGGAAAGAAAAAACAGGCATAACAACTTCACAATAAGTTACTACAGAAAGTAGTAAAAGTAAAACCTGTTTTTAAAAACTAACAAGGTGTAAAAAAATAAAATAAAATTTTGAGTACTTCATAACAAACACTGAAGAAGTACAGAACCTCTGGGGAAAAACAGAAGAAAACATTTAACTTCACTTAATAGCAAATTGAGCGTGCACCACACACACACAACCATCCATGCCCTGAGTGGAAGGCCAAAGATGAGCAGTGATAATCAAGTATTATTAAAACTTCCACGTCTCTGTTTGGTAGTTTCACCACTAACGTATACAGCCAGCCACCAAAATGTCAGCCTTGGCCATGGCCTCAAACTTGGAAACTGATACTAAGTGAAGTAATTACCATGTTATAGCTCAGCTGCTGAAAGCCCTGTGAATATTTACTGACACAGAAATGCTCTTAAGAGGAAACACATTAACAACAACGGTCATTTCCTTTCTGCATCCTCTGTTGCTAAATTACTTAGGTTGGTTTTACTTTTAAAATCTGAGTATAGACGCCAGTGATTTTCTTTTAGTCCACGTCTTTAATGTCCACTAGACCATCAGCAGAGTTTACAGGGTCTGGAGCCTTAAACCTTAGAACCCCTGGGTTATAATATGGACTTCAGGAAGGCGATCTGGAAATTCACTGACAGTTTTAAGGAGCAGTGTTGCTACATCTAAATACCCTTTCCTCACCCTAAATTGCTTCAAATCATAATATCCAAAGTTTTCCTTACTGCTGGAATTAACAGCCTTAATTTTATTTTGAAATCTGGGTTCTTATCTCAGTCATTTATAAATGTAAATCATTTAAACACTGAAGTGTGGACTCTTAAAAACAAAAAAAGTATTAATAGGACTTCAGACTTAACATTTTTTATTAGATGAAAATAAATTAATCTGTAAAAATACAAGAACTGAGCCGGGCGGTGGTGGCGCATGCCTTTAATCCCAGCACTCGGGAGGCAGAGCCAGGTGGATCTCTGTGAGTTCGAGGCCAGCCTGGTCTCCAAAGCGAGTTCCAGGAAAGGCGCAAAGCTACACAGAGAAACCCTGTCTCGAAAAACCAAAAAAAAAAAAAAAATACAAGAACTGAGTCTAAAAAAGAATTTTTAGTAAATTATAAAAATATGAAACTCCTTGAGACCCCCAGTGAATATTGCCAAAAGCCAGAAACTATTAACACTGTTAAATATAAAGATATGAGCTGGACTGTTAACACTATTTCTTCATGGAGAACCTATTACCTAAAAGCAGCTTCATTCCCCTTCTCCTTGATGTTTCAAAAAGCCTTGTATTCTTAACTAATCATTATATTTACTGGAACAGTACTTACACTTCCTGAACACTCCCAGATCTACAAAGCCTATGTAATAAGGTATTTTAGGAAGCAGCTTCCTGGACTTTGAGTCAGAATGTTAGTATAAGGGTGTGTACTACAACAAAGTACTTTTTAATACACAGTTTAAGTCTGCTTCCCAATTCAATACCATTAACTAATGTACCAAAGATTACAAATGACAGACAGTATCCTTTAATTACATTTTAAATTAGCTGAAGCAGTTTTGGCCACATCTTTAGATCAACAGGTTTTTTCACACGTGGTATTTGATCTAGAACATGAATATAAACTCTTGACAGATGTACTAAAGAGCAAGTGATTCATTGTCTTAATCCTCAAATCCAGTTCCCTGCCAACAAGTGCAAATCTCTCTCTCTCTCTCTTTTTTTTTTTAAATCTTTTCTCAACAAATGGAAATAAAGGTAAAACCTGTTCCTTATTCCAGATGCCTGTGCCGTGTTTGCTTATTCAGGTACCCCAACCACCTTGGCTCTCTTACACAGTTTATTCAGAGCCACCAGTATTGACAGAGTCGGTCCTATAAGGACTATAAATTTTGTTAACGTTTCAATTTGATAATGTACAAACACATGTCTGTGATAGTGGAGTTTTGTGACTCTCCCATACCTTGTTAGAGTTACATAGCACTCTTTATAGAAACGTAGTCTTTATGATTACTAATCAAGTTTTCACTATACTTCAAAAAACAAGAAATTTGGAAAACAAAATTATAGGGATAGATGTTGTCAGTGCTACAAATAAAAACCTAGAAACCTAGCTGGTTCTTCTTTTATATGGAAAGGGGGTGATAGGAAGAAAACTTACCTCAAGATACATGACTACAAAAAGGAGCAGACTTTCTGGGGTCTGAAGGGATTTGTACTTGAAGACACTCCAGTCAGCAGAGGGTCATGTTGAGCATTCTGCAGACAAAACTGTTTCAAGTCTGCAGCTGCCTGGGAAACCTATAAATAACAATGAGAGTGGAGAAACATCCATTGGTAAGGTTTAATGATCTTTATACATCTGAAAACAAAATAGACAGCACTTCAAATAATTGACAGCTAACAGTTCCACACTGGCTTATACTTAAAACACGTAGTAAAAGAAACTGGTTTTACTATTTTTTCTACTTGCTGCAGGCATCAAATGATTCAATATGAAATACAATCCCCTTTATCTGTAGAGCACAGCATGTCTTGTTTTTATATGACAGGCTGTTCAACAAACCCTAACAGCTTGATTTGGGGAGCATAGGATTTGTTTTGTCTCATATAGCCCAGGCTGGCCTCAAACTTTTTATGTAGCAAACAGCCTTGAACAGCTGAGCCTCTTGACTCTACCACCTGAGTGCTGGGATTTTTAAAGGCCTGCCCCATCAAGCCAGGTTTATGCAGTGCTGGGATCCAACTCTGGACTTCCTGTATTCAACTCTGGACTCTTCTGTATTCGTAGGCAAACACTCTAACAACTGAGTCACATCCCTAGCCCAATGGCTTGTGTTTTTTTTATTAAAAGTAGTACGTAGTATTAGTAGTTCAACAAAAAGATTAACATAGGGAAACTGTCTTGAAAGCAAACTGGAAATGCCCATGAACCTGAGGTAACAAGCACAGAACGCAGACAAGCAAACACTTCATTACAGTCTTCAAATGTATACCCATCCATATACTGTCTTGCATTTAAGTGAGACATGCATTCATTCATCTAAACACCTACTATTATATATATTCTGGTTAGGAAATCTAGGAATATAAAAAAGAATACTGAAATCCTATTTGGCTTCCACCGTATACATATAATAATACTGCCAAATCACATTTGAGGAAAGTAAAGTGTTTTTTGAAGACAGGCTACTCAGAAAGGTTGTTCAACTGGGCCAGAGTTTTACCTCCAGAACCCACAGAAAGGTGGAAGGAAAGAACCGACCCTGTAAGGTGGTTCTCTCAACTACCTCCCTGTATGCACCATGGCACATACGCCCACATACACCATGCATACACAACCCTTTTTAAATTAAAGCTGTTAAATTAAGGTACACTTAGCTTTTCAAGTCACAAGAAACAGGGTGGAAGGCTGTCAGTGCCAGGTTTTATACCTACAACAGTTGAGTTCAAAGCCAGTCCGGCTCCTTAGAGAAACCCTATCTATAACTAGTTGATTGAATACAACTACCAACACAACAAACTGAATGGTTATGTAGACCACGAGTGACTAAAAATGCACCAAAACCATCTAATTCCCCTATTTATTCTCAATCTCTGCTATCTCTAGGGTAACTCTAGGTGTTGTATCCTTAAAAGTTAATAGCATTATTAGATACTCTGTATCAAAAGCCCCTCAGGTAACAGCTATATTGTTACAGAGGATCAATCATCCTGAGGTAAGTTTAAACTCAATTTGAATCTACCTGTGTTTGGCTTATATAGTAATTCAGGACAGTAAGTCCCATGTTTATTTGTCTCTGAATGTAAGAGGTTCCTGCAGTTTTTAAATCTTGTACAAACAGCAATACCCTGCTTTGCCCCTTAAAAGTACCTACTGTATGGAGGGTAAAGTATCAGTTTTCAGTGTTAAACCATTTGGCTTTGTTGGCATCCATCAGTAAGCATAAAGTACCTGTTAATTCCTTTCCCACAAATTTTCAAGTACCATTATATATGGACAATACTTCCAGGCACTGAGAATAATAAAGAACAGTGATATGCTAATGTTATGTGACTAATAGTGCAGTAAAGAAGAGTGATTAAATGACAAGGTAGTCACTCCAGGGAAGGTGTCTCTGAGTTGACATTTTAGCTGGCATTTCAATGGTAACAAATCGAGCTCAATAACCACAGTGAAAAAAACAGCATTCTAAACAGGAACCTTGAGACTGAAATGGAAAAGCTGCTAGTACCCAAAACACAGTAACAGTCACTATCCAGGAAGCTGACACAGTGGAACTATTAATCAGGCCTCCAAATGTCCTGACCTACCTCTGGGAGTTTGGTAAATAAAGCACTTGGAATTACCAACTAAACAAATGCAGCACGAAGTTTATGCTGGCTTTAAAATGGCACACACAAAAGAGGTACCTAGCATACGCATGGCGTGGATGATGTGAAACGGCACCTAACCTAATTTGGGAACCTAGGAAAACTCCTTTAAATTCCTGAGTGAGATGTGCTTTGCCATGAGAACTCCAAAATGTGTTTATTTGTGGTGGTTTAAAGGATCCCAATCGGAAGACTTCAGAAGAATGAAGATACACAAGGCAAGATCACGCTAGGAAATAGCCACTGAGCAGCTAGGGGTTTCCAGGAAAAGGAAGTTCTGGTCTGAGAGCTCATTTCTTTGGCCACTAGAGCCAAGTACCATTGCTGTAATTAATACTGCATTCATCTGCCTTTTTATTTCCTTCCCCAACTCACTATTTTTTTTCTTCCTGGCCTACCTTATGATTGTTACATTTTATGAGTGATGATGACCAATAGGTTGCTTCAACTTTCAGAGCTCTATCTGTCCAAGACGGAGTAAGTCAGTTGGAAGAGGTGAGAATCTGATTAGGGAAATGGAGTCCAAACCAAGACTGATGGGCGTCTCCCTATCCTCCTAAGGTTCCCACAAGGAAGTTAGTTATGTGGTCTCTGACATTTCTACTTAGGGAAGCTAAATAGAAGTCCTCTCCACATAGCACATTGGAAACAAAGACTAGCCTGCTGAATATAAAATCAAATCACCTTGGAAACTGGCAGCTTCTAGCAGGGTGATTTATACTCTCGTTTCTTTTTATAATCACGGGAAGTATTTTACATGTTACCCGACCTACTGCATAAGAAAGAAGCCAATCTGTTTAGGATTTTAAAAATAAGCGAGCACTCCTCAGAACAGCGTTTGAAAGCCTGGCTGTCTATCAATACGGACACAAGAACTTTCCCCAAAAGTCAACAGCCCAAGACAAGGAAATCCTAACAGACGGCAAAGTAAGACCGACCCAGGCCAGCGCTAATCAGTCTCGGGCATGTGAACCAGTAAACAGACACCCCGGCAAGGTCAGATCCGAGCAAACTGTGCCAGGCGGTTCGAAACACGCCTTTGTTCGAGGCTGTCCTGAGCAAGGGTGGTGTCCTTAGACTCCCGGGCCGTTCCGCAAACAAACTAGCCTATTAAACCGTCGTCTGCAGTTACCCGCGCAGTCTCGGAAGTGTTCGAAGGCCGCGCTCTGGGACTAAGTTTGGTGACGATCCGGGGTGAGAAGTGTGAATCGAAAGTCGGGGCCCGCAAATCGAGACCCGCCGGGGCAGGGGAGAGTGGGAGGAAGGGAGGGAGGGCTCACCCCTCCGCCGCGCGGCCCGCCGCAGCCCGGGCCGGAGCTCCAGGCGCCGCGTTCCGCCCACGCTTCCCCACCCCGGCCCACCGTCCGCGCACGCCCGCTCACCTTCACGCGGTTGAGCCCGGCCTCCAGCCGGAGCTGCTGAACCACCTTCTTCATGGCGGCGACGCTGGAAGAACCCGACATGGCGCTCGGGACAGCCGTGCCGACTCGTCAGGCCAAGCGAGGGGCGGCAGGTCGCGGGGCGGCGGGGCGGGGGCGGGGGCGGGGCTCCGAACTTCGGCTAAGTTTCCGGTGCTGCGCGCGCCGCGCATGCGCGCCCCCGCCCCCGGGGGGCCGCCGGCTGCCCCGCGGGCGCGAGCGGAGGAGAAGGGGCGGAGCGGCCGGTGGGCGCGGCAGCGGCGACGGGGGGCGGTGCGGCCCGACGCCGGGCCGGCGCCTTCCGCGTCAGGAGGGGCTGGTTCGGGCGAGGTAAGGCGGACGCGGGGTGCCGGCGCGGGAGAGGTCGCCGCGGCTTGGAGTCGGCGGCGGGGTGAGGGGAAACGGCAGCGCAGCCTCGAGTCGCAGGCGGACGCGTCTCCGCCGGCTCAGCCCCGTCACTAGGGGACCCGCCGTCCAACGGGCCCGGGGCGAGAGGGCGCAGGGCCGTAACCGCCCGGGGCCGCGGGACCCGGGGACCCAGAGGTTGGGAATGGGGTTGGACGTGTCGCCCAGCGGCGCCGGCCGCCCAGCTCGGCGTCCCCTTACCGCGTTCTTTCAGGAGTCAGTCCCGGTGCTTTTCCAAATAAAAGCTTTGGCGTTTAGGGCACGTTTGCTCTTCTGACGTCTCTGGAATCGCTTACTTCGTGCTTGTAACTAAACCCCGGAGGGGTTTTCAGGAAAACACACTCAAAGTTTTAAATTAGTTCAAGCTCTAGTGTCCCGGGTGAGACCTAGCATCTATAAACATGAGTTTCGTCCTAAGTGCTGTTTCATTTGAATAGTGAGGAAAAAATCTCAGCCGACGAATCGCATTACTGACCAGTTCATACCAGTTCACAAAAATGTACACTGGAATTTTGTTTTTTTCACCCAGCTCTTATGGTTGTACAGTTTTCCCTGGTGTCCTTCGGCAAGCCCTTTAAACTGGCGAAGTTAGAAAGAAAGCTTCCTGGAGTTCTTGAGTTTGAAACGAAATGAAATTGTTACATGTATAAGAAATATGAAAAGTGAGGCTGGAGAGAGAGAACCTGAGTCCTCTTGCAGAGGACCCGAGTTCAGTTCCCAGCGCACAGGCTGGGCAGCTCACAAGCGTCAGTACTCCAACTCCAGGGGTACTGTAGCCCTCTTCTAGATTCTGGGGACATCTGCATTCACATACGCCCAGACCCACATTCATACACATAATTGTTTGAGACAAGGTCTCACTTTGTAGCTCTGGCTGACCTGAAACGCTCGCTATGTAGACTAGGCTGGCCATGAACTCACAGAGATCCATTCATCTGCAGCTGCCTTCCAAGCCTTGTGATTAAAGGCTTGCACCACCAAAATAAATGAATGAACGAGTATGAAAGGTAACACAAATATTTTACCTTGTGCCTTGTATGCTAAAATCTCAACATAAATTTCTAAGATAAAGTTTGTGTAACTTAAGGAATGTTCTACTTTATATTAGTTGCAATAATATTTAAGAACTATGAAATGTTAGGGCTGGAAGGCATTTCAAAGATCTTACATGGTACAGTACACATTATTAAGTAAATGTTGGGGAATAAACAAAGTTAATTTTGTCTTGGTCTCAAGGTTTTGTTTTGTTTTTTCTTTCGCCAAACTATTGGGTTAGGGAACCACAGAATGTCTTGCTGTCTCACACACCAGATGTTAACTTAGTTTTTACGGTATATCTAATAAGCAGTACGTATTGGCATAGGAAGGGAGGAAAAACAGAACCCCCTTTAGTTCATTTGCAGCTGAAGCTCTGAGCATTAAATGTGGTTCATGAACTATCAACATCTCCTAATAAAAGCTTGTTCTTTAATCTCCCACTGTGTTCTAAAGTATTTCAAAGGCTTTACCGTGTGTTTACGTTTTAGATGATTAAAGGTAGACTTTATTGTCAAAAGTAGCGTGACACGAGAACCTATTAACAATGGCAAGAAAACACAACCAAGAAATCTTGCCGTTTGGTGTTTTGTTTGCAGAACACCGCCATTTTAAATTTTCCTAGCTTCCACACCTTATTCAACTTCTGTTCATTGGGTCTTAGTTCAGTGTTGAATAAATAAAATACTTTCAACACTCACAAGCCTTTGTAGTTTAACCGAAAGCCAGGAGGTCTCAAAATGAGTTTTTCAATGAGTTTCTATTACTTGTAGATTCCACCATGTAGTGATGAGAACTCTGGACTTTTGAGTTTACATTATTCTATTTTATAGTAGGTTCAGAAATTGAAGTTTGGACAAATTGAGCGACTTGCTTCTAGAAAAACTACAATTTAGGTTTCTCAGTTTTAATTCTATTATATACATGTAATGCATTTCTTTCAATGGTTTTGCTCATATATTGATATAGTAATTAGTTTTCATAATTGAATATGGAACTCATAAGTAAATTCTGTTAAAAGAACTTTAGCCAGTGATAAGTTGGGTCATAAGACTTGTATTTTAGTTCAACACCTATACATGTTAGCCATGGGGTATTAAATATTCTTATTCTAAAATGTTACATTTTTTTTTTCTTCTACCTTACCATGTTAGAATTCACCTCATATTATGGGTTCTATCCTAAATACACTCCAAAGGCCTAAATGCTAAAGCCTGGTTACCGGCCTGTGGTGCTATTGGAACACTAGGCCCTTAGGAAGTGAGGCCTAGTGGAAGGAAGGTAAACATATCTTTGATGGGGATATTAGGATACTTGCCTCTTCCTCACTCTTTCATTTTCTGTCATAAGGTGAGCAGCTCCTCTGTCTTGTGTCCCTGCCATGATGTACTGTGCTGCCAGAGGCCCAAATCAACAGGTCAAGATTTCATTCTCTAATTAGTGTTACAAGTCTTAAAATAACCTAATAGTATATAGGCTCTGGGGTGTCCTTGGGCACTTTATTTAGCTAACACAAATTACCTTTTAGGAAGGTTAGAACTTTATTAGGTTACCCATGAACTAGGCAGGACAAAACTCTCAGAACAGAAATAGAACCTGAATTTATCCTGATCAGAGAGACCTGTCAAGAAGTATTCCCATCATCTGGCATAAGGTTGATTATATGCTGATTTCTCTTACTTCCTGAATAAAGAATTTAAAAATTGGAAAGGGTCTTAGTGAGCCCAAATCAGTTTCTTGTCAGATTTAAGGCACGTAGACCACAATGAATGGTCTTGTATGCTATAGAGGACTAGAACCCTGCTTTTTCTAATGCCCGATCCGTTTGATTGCTTTATGTGGGGTTCTGCTGTATTTAAATATAGCCTATGTCAAACTCCCAATTTTAGTGGTTACTTCGGATTTCTAGTTCACTGAGTATCTCTTTGTATATGCTAGTATCAATCAATTACTAAAATTACTCAAATCCTATTTGCTCTGAATAATACCAGAAATACTTAAAATTTTATTTTAGCTCTGCAACTGAGTCTCAAAGTTATTTTTAATGATCTCTGTAGTCTTTTCTGCTAAGACTAGATGTGGCCTTGGGATACTTTTCAGTACTTACTCTGCTTATATTTTTAGCAGGTTATTTTGGGAGCTCAAACCTAAGGGCCTTACACACATTATGCAAGTGGTCCTCCCCTGCACTGTACCCACAGCTTAAAGAACTCACTTTTAGGCAAACTAAATTAGTATAAATTAGTATACCAGGTAAGGCTGATTGTCCATTCTTGGCAGAAAGGTTGTAAAGCAAAATTTTGTAGTACATGAGAGATTATATTAGAACTCTATAGTCATCTTTTCTTTGCTCATCAATTTTCCTTTTGTTTGAATTGTTGGAATTACTTTGTCCATTAGCCAATTATTATAAATAAATAATTTGAGAATCCCAAATATTATGTTAGAATTTAGTATGTGAAATTATTTGGTTAGGATCAACTCCAAATTCTAATCATGCCTAAGTTGTAATTTAAACTTATTATTGATTTAATAACAGATTCAAATAAGTCAAGCATTGGGTTATTATTATAAAGATAACATAGACAAGTCATGGAAATTGATTCTATGTGAAAACCCCAAAACTAGAACTACCCCACACATAGGCCAAACTAAAAGAAAATCTAAGGCTCAGGACCTCAGCAGCAAAATTTCTGGCCTTTATTGCTTATAAGTAGTTTCAGCTATGTGGCCCCTCTGTATACCTGTTACAATCAATTTGCTTAGTCAGTCTGTTTTTACAATATATTTGTAAACCTCAGTAAACTACATCTTTCTCATACTATGAGCATGTCTTATGTCTATGATAACTGCTTCATGGCTTCTTTCTCTATATTCAATTGATTCAAAAGATTATATAGCCCACAAAATATTTTTTTAATTTTGATACTGTTAAAACAGTTAGTGGTGCCGGGCGGTGGTGGCGCACGCCTTTAATCCCAGCACTCGGGAGGCAGAGCCAGGCGGATCTCTGTGAGTTCGAGGCCAGCCTGGACTACCAAGTGAGTTCCAGGAAAGGCGCAAAGCTACACAGAGAAACCCTGTCTCGAAAAACCAAAAAAAAAAAAAAAAAAAAAACAAAAACAGTTAGTGGTATCTAGTAGTAGTTCACAGAACTGAGATAAGTACAAGGTCAGAAAAGTTTTGAATTTTGTATGACTTAAATTACTACTTGGAGGTCAGTGTAAAGCAGTGCTTTGAGATATAAAAAAGCTTTCATTGTGTTAGTGTAAGTATTGTTTAAGTTAGTGTATGTATCATCTAGGATTGGCCAACTTTGAAAATTTCTTTTTAGAGTAATATTTCGACTACCCTGTTTTTCAGTTTTTATCATATTTATATTTAATATCTCATATTTTTATAATATGTAATATTTATATTTATTTTTGTCATGCATTGTTATGAACTGCCATAAATTCTATGAGGAAAACCACAGGAAATAATACAAAAACAATGCTTGATATATTTAAAGACTAGTATTTTCAGCTAAAACAATTGTTTACATTTATTCTATGCCCTGAAATAAATGCATATGAGAAAACAGTTTTCATTATTCAGTGACCATTGATATAAATTCAGGCTTTCCCCATGTAAAAGTATATTTCTATATTATGTATGTATTTAACCCAAATTTTTGACCCATAAAAATGAATTGTTTAGTAAATA